GAGAGAGGGAGAGAGGTGAAGAGACTGCTAACATTCACAACATATTATGGAAATGAATTTGCATAATCTAATTTACTTTCTTTTGGTTCCATCGTCAATGCGAAATGGCGCTTGTTCTCTGAGCCTCTCTCACAAACCTATGGCTATAAAAGGAGACACAGCTGGCAAAGCGAACATTTTGCGAGTGACATGCAGATTTATTACCTTGCTGGAATTACCTTCAGTAGCTAAACCATAATAAATTGGACCATCAGTGGAATATTTATTCCCATGAAATGGGCACGTGGTCTCCAGAAAGTATGGCATCAGCTGGGAGCCAGTAATGAATCTGCTGAACCATACTCCACCTGCAGACAGATTGTGCTGATGTTCCCTAAGAAGGCTCCTGGTATTTATTTCTCCCTTTCACAGTTTCCCACCAACTGAGGGCTGCATTCATTCATTGGATGGTTGGGACATTTGTCCTGAGCACCAAACAAAAAGTCATCTGCATGGGAGGTGATACTATTCAGCCAATTGCAGGGATGGTCCCATGGCAGCTAACTTCCAAGCCAGGAATGGACAATTCATTTGAAGAAGAGCCTGAACATGGTTAAGAAATGTGGCTATGCAGCAGCAGCAAGCAAGCAAAGTATAGGCCCGGTGAGGGGAGAGATAGAGAGAGAGGGAGAGAGAGAGATGAAAGTAAAGATGGGTTGCAGCTGGAGATGAACGTCCTGCCAGCAGAACAAAGACCAGATCACATTTCTCCTCTCTTCTGCAGTCAGCTAGGTGCACTCCAGACCAGCTCTGGAGTGCCTGGGAACCCTCTAGAGCATATCTGGAGCGTGTTCAGGCATCTAGTGAGCTGCAGGGGACAGGAGAAGATGGCACATGTAGAAGTCCACTTGCATGATGTCGGATCTGGCTCAACATGGATTATGTTGATATTATTAGATGCAATGTGCAGGGAAAAAGTCCTTGACTCTCATGCATCCCTGATGCATCCAGCAAAGTGCAATCACGGGAGCTGAAATATCATAGGAGGCTTAAAAATCCAAGCAGGATCGATGGGGTTAAACTACAGAAGAAAAGGAGATGATATTTTTGTGTTAATTTTTGTAACCTCAGAAACATGTGGTTTCTAGTCACATACCACAGATGTGCCTTTTCCACCTGCAATTTGATTCTGCACTTTTTAATTGCATATGCAGGCAGCTTTGTTCCTATATTTCCTTAACCAAGGATGTGATACTGTAGAAGAGGCTGATCCTCTTCTCTTGCCTGAGATATAAGTGGTGCTCAGATGGAGCAGCAACTCCAGACTTTGGGTAATGAAACAGGAACGCCTCTTGGCCGATTAAGAGTCAGTGTCATCCAAGAGCAATGTTGATGTTATTTTCTTATAAGGGTTGAAAGCTGTGCCACAGTTGCCTACGGAGAAAGCCAAAGCAGGTGTGAAATTTATTCAAGATGAATGCTCCTCCAGATGGGATTGGCAGTCCAGTGACCAGTAATCTCTGTGCTGAAGAAACCAGACAAGCTGGGCTCTGGGCTCTTCTCCATCTCTTGTGCAGAGATGGGTCCTGACAGAACATCTGGCAGCAAGCAGAAAGAGCAGCCTGAACTCAGCCTTCTGCATCCAAAAGCCATCTACGCCTGTCTCAAAATACGCCAATGGGAACAGTTTTTCCACAGTGCAGCTAAATGGATATTTTTCAAACAAGTTGCAATTGTGACATTCAGCCTCCTTGGAAATTGGGTTAGGAACATGAGGGGAAGTTGAAGTCATAACTGCTCTCAGGAATTTGGGTTGGATACCAAATGCGCATCCAAGCAATTAATCCAGGAAAATGATCTACAGTCTGCTGATGAAAATTAATCAGGGATCATCAGACTGCAGGATCCCTAAGGTGTGCTGAGCCATGCCACCATAGGTACTTCTTCACTAGCATTTAGTGTGGATTCAGCATTGAGTAGGCAGGCATTATTCACACACTTTTTATATACTATCCACATAACCCCATCTTAGAATCTTGGGATCATAGAATACTGGAGTTGGAAGGGACCATGAAGCCCGTTGCGTCCAACCCCTGCTGCTGCAAGACACCAAGTTACACCATCCCACTCAGATGGCTGTCCAATTTCTTTGTGGATGTCTCTAGTGTGGGACAGCCCAAGACCTCTCCAAGAAACTGGTTCCACTGTCATATTGCTCTGACAGTGAGGAAGGTTTTCCTGATGACCAACCTGAATATGGGTTGTCGCAGCTTGAATTGATTATTCCGTGTCCTACACACTGTCATCAGCAAAAAGAGATCTTATTCTTCCTCTTTGTGACCATCTTTGAGGTACTTATAGAGAGTTATCATGTCCCCACTCAATCTTCTCTTCTCAAGGCTGAACACACCCTGTTTGCTCAATCTCTCCTCATAGGGCAGTATTTCCAAACCTTGGATCATTTTTGCTGCACTCCTCTGGACCCTTTCTAATTTTTCGGAATCTTTCTTAAATCACCCAGTATAAAGCTGCTTCCTTGCTCCCTGAGCCACCAGTGAAAGGAAATGAGCTTGCATAACATCACTCCAACAAAAAGAGGAAAGGTGACATGTCAGAATCTAAAGAGGAAGCACTTGTTAAAGCAGAATGCACAAAGGGCCACACAAAGAGGTGAGCTTACTCAGAAGCAAGTACAAATGCTTTCTGTGGTACTTGCTTCCAGGAATGCCAGTGCAGGAGTCTCAGTTTGGCTATCTGAAACAAGAAATAATGGCCACAGCTTTCCTCTTTCCCTACCTTTCCCTGTACTGTTCCTTAATTTGCTGCCTTTAAAAGAATTCAACTCAGGTTCATAGTCAGTGCTCATGTATCTGACACCAAACCCAGTTTTCATAAGGGACTTTTAAAAAGACCTTCAAAACAAACATGCACAATGTTTTCAGCCTCAAGAGCTGCATCGGGCAGTTCCAGGTGGGCATGTCCAAATGGGGGCATGCTAACAGCACAAATACACATGTACAGGCTTGGGGAATCCCTGTCTTTTCTTTTTTGCAAGGCAATCCCTCCAGGTCTCATGGGGAAGGAATGTATTCAGTGTTTAAAAGTCCTCTGGCTTACCTAAAGATTTTTCTAGCGTCAGCAGTGATGATACAGGGAACCTGACCATTCTGGATGATGACTTCCTAGGTGTCAACGATACTTCAGAGGATTGCATGAACCATGAATATAGCACTTTCTCCGACGGCTTGGCTGTGAGGCTGGCTTTGGACTCGGAGTTACAGTGGAACTGGACTGGGGCAGAGGGCAATTGACAGTGTGCTGCCTCAGCTCTGCATGGATATTAAAAATCAACCTGGTGAAATTGCGTTTATTTACAATTAGTTCAAGATAAGCTCTTTGCAGCTGAGAGAAAGCTACATATTTCTATATTCATACAACATCAGTTAGCTAACACAGTAGTGTGCTGGGCTCCAAAACTTCCAAGGTGTTGGCTAGGTTCAGAAAACACAAGCAATGGTGTGTGTGTGTGTGTGTGTTTTAACCAGTGTTTATTTATTTAGTTATATTTATATCCCACCTTTTTTCCTTTTCAAGGCAGCTTACACAATTCTCTCAATCTTGTCTGACCAACAACCTAGTGAAGCAGGTTGGGATGAGAGTCTGTGATTGGCTCAAAATCACCCAGTGAGTGGGGACTAAAACCCAGAGCTCTGCATCCCAGCCCACGATCTTAACAAACATACCACACTGTCTCTCAGTGATCTATTGTATTGTCTGAACCCAGTTGGGATATTTCATCATGTTAAGTTTGGTCTTTAGAAGCCAAAATATGAAACAACAGCATGTTCTATTGTTTCTCTGTACTACCATGACTTGTTGTGTTGTCTGAACCAAGGATCATAGTTTTCACCATCATGGTATGCAACTATCATGGAGTCCTCTGGAAAGAATGGCAAGTGCAGGAGCTGCTCTAGCAAGAGAGCCAGTGTGGTGTAGTGGTTAAGAGCATGGGACTGGGACTCAGGAGATCTGGGTTCTAGTCCCTGCTTGGCCATGGAGCCAACTGGGTGACTTTGGGCCAGTCACAGACTCTCAGCCCAACCTACCTCACAGGGTTGCTGTTGTTGTTTTTAAATAAGTTTTATTTGAGAAATTATAATCCTAAAAAAACAAAAAGAAAACTACAAACAACATCCATCACAAAAACATCGAGCCCGCTGAGTCAGCCCCCACACCCTTCTTTTTCCATTTATGATAACTTAAAAACATATTTAAATCTATGTGAAGTCCCATTTCTCTAGCCAATAATAAAAAGATTCCCAAGTTTGATAGAAGTCAGTGTCTTCCCTCTCCTTCAAAATCAATCTACCCTAAAATCAATCTACCCATTTCTGCACAGTCCAGGATCTTTTAATCAGTTCATCGGTGGGTAGTTCTTCACATTTCCAGTGTTGAGTGAATGCAATCCTCACCGCAGTGATTACATGTAAAAGCAGATACATTTCTTATTTACTAATGTCCTCCAGTATAATGCCTTATAAAAAAAACTTCAAGTTTAAAAGCTAAGGATTTTTGTAACATTTTCTCCACCACATATAATAAAAATACCCAATTTATGTTTACATATCCAACATCCATTTGACATATTTGGAAACACCTTAGCTAATCTATTTGGCGACAGATACCATCTATAACACATTTTATACAAGTTTTCTTTATACGAAGTTGCTAATGTTACCTTGATATTTCTCTCCCACAGCTTTTGCCACTTTTCTAATTCAATATTATATCTAAGATTTTGTGCCCATGTTATCATAGTTTCCTTAACCTGTTCATCTTCTACTTTTCTATCAACTAAGAAGTCATATAATCTTTTAATCATGTTCTCATCTAAGTATCACTTGGTCAAATGCTGTTAAGTCTTTATAAAAACCCCACACTTTACAATCTTTAGCATATCTCGATTGTATCTGCACCTTATGCCACCAAGAGATATCAGTTCCCTGTTCTTGTATTTCTTAATTCAATTTCAGTCCTCCATCTTTATCCAAAATGTCATCGTATCTTATAATCCCTTCAAAATTCAATGCATTTGGATACACAAAAGCTTCCATGGGTGAAAACCATCTTAGTAATTAATTATACAATTTTATCTTTAACTTTTCCCACACCAACATTAATGATTTTCTAGCATAGTGACTTAAAAAAGAACCATGTGTCTTAGCCTTCTCATACCACATATAAGCGTGCCAGCCCATTTGCAAATCATTCCCTTTAAAATACAAAATTCTCTTATTTCTTCTTTACACCTCTACCTCTTCTCTCTTCCTTTGTTTTCAGTATCTGTACTTCTTGCTGTAAATCAGTATCCACTTCCAGTGTCTGTACTTCTTGTTGTAAGTCAATATTCACTATTTCTCCTTCCTCAGAATGATATGTTGTTAGTTCCATTGGTTTGGCACTTATTCCTCCTTCTTTTGAGGCACCCGGCTCTTCCTCTTCAAGCAAACTTCTAAATTTTTCATAAAACTCTTGTGCCTTAAAAATCGAGTCCAATTTGTATCTTGTAAAGTTACAGGTGAAAAATATTCCTTCTGTCATTAGCCACCTAAACATAATCTCTCTCAAATAGTTAGATGACTTCTCCATCTCTAGTATAACAAGAGAATCCCATAGTGATTTGTTTGTTTGCTTTATTAATTGTGTTTCTTTACCATTTCAAGTTTTTCATGCGCCTGTTGTATTTTTTGTGTATTCTGTTCAGTTTTAAGTCGAATGTCCGCCAATTGGGTTGATACCTCCTTAATAGAATTATCCAGTTCGTCAAGACGTTCTCTTTGTTCAGTTGAAATGTTTTCCTGTCATGTTGACATCGCCTCTTGGGATGCTTGCAAGGCTGTTAAGGATGTCTGTATCGCCAGAAGCGTCATTTGTAGCTGTTTTTGATATTTTTCAACATCTGCTGCTTTAGGCTGATGAGTTGGACTCTGAGCAGCTAATGTAGGTGCCGAAGAGGAGGAAGAGTGTATTTTTTTCATGATGATAATAATTTTTGCCAAAAATTACAAGACAACAACAGAGAAGAGAAAAGAAGAAAAAAAAAAGAAACTTGCTATAAATCCAATGGCAGCAAAGGACTATTTTGTCTTTAAATGATGTCACAAAGGAAAGTTTGTTTTTCTTGGCATTAAAACAGCTTTAAGGAAGGACTGTACCAACAAAGAAAGAGGATTCCAAAAAATAAAAAATGGCCGATCAGCAAGTAAACTTTGTCCTTCTATCACTTATTCCACAGTAATTATTTATTCTGATTCTTCGCCCTTGAGGAGGTTAGAAAAAAAAGATCTTTCTCTCCAGTCTCAAACTTTCCAAAAAAAACCCCTCAGTCCTCTCCCCCAGATCAGTTGCCGCTTAAAACTCTGTGGGGGGAGGAGGAATTCCTCCCTCCATCAAAGGGGCTTTCCTTTCTTCTTTATGCCAATTAGTAACTGCTGCAATTCTTTCACGGGTAATATTGAAGAGAAGAAAAAAAATAGAAATGCTCACCCAGCAGGTCCGATGAACTTCTAGCTATTTATTCTATGCTATTATCTGGCCGTCTATGGCTTGCAGGGAGTTGATCTCTCCCCTGTGCTGTTTGATTGAGAAAAGCCCGAATTTCTCCCAGTAAATGCAGAGACGCTGCCCCACACCAACCGGAAGAATGCTCAAACAAACTAATCGCCCCGGCAGGGCTTGGATGAGCCCCCACAGCTCACTCTCGAACAAATACCAGCGTGATAACAGGAGCCCCTGCTCTTCGCAGCCGTATCGCCACGATGCCAACCAGAAGTCCCTCACAGGGTTGTTGTTGTGGGGATAAGATGGAGGAGGAGATGTAAGCTGCCTTGAGCCCTTTGAGGAAAAAGGCAGGATATAAATCGATAAATAAATAAATCTAGCATATATGTGTGAGCCAATGAGGAAGAGGCAGGCAACCCAGGCAGGGAGCAATGCGCCTTGGGTTTTAATTTCAGGCACAGTGGTTGATGAGATGCATGCCAATAGTAGGAGGACTGAGTAGGGAGGATGGAAACTGTTAACATAGAAGCCATTTGATTGTGTGTCAGGTAGAGCATGGTAAAGAACTGTAAACCATGGTAAATACACCAGCCACTATATCATCTCTGTGGATTGTATCCCATGTTCATCTAACTTAATTCCCATTCATTTCCAGAGTTCTCCTCCAAGTACGACTAATATGAGATACAAACCTGTGCATGCAATATAATGCAGACATCAGGAAAGAGTAAACATGAACTAATTATAAATAATGAGTTAGATTTTTAATTACTAAAATACTCATTATTGGTTTGATTGAATCATTTTATGCTGTATACATTTGTTTCAAATGTTTTACATTACTGGAAAGTTGCTCCTTTTGAAAAGCAACATATACATTTTTATAAATACATACATGTTACATTCCTGGAGACAGATGGCATTTTTTGGAAAAAGCTGAGTAATGCATGATCACACATCTACAACAGGTTGTGGAAAATGAGTGATATCAAAAATGTTCATGATGGGATGAATGTTGACATCTGGAGTTCAGAAAATTCAAAGTGCTGATGCTCATTTCTCCATGGCTAGGAACCAAAGCAGTTGACGAAATGCTTGCCTCCACCTCAGCCTGCTCATAGATGGAGATCTTCACTGGAGATCCTCCTACCATTAGAGTGAGGTGACTGGCAACTGAGGACAAGAACTTCTTAGTCAATCCAGTCCTGGGATTTTGTGGGGGTGGGCTTGGTCACCAGTCAGGAACTTTTAATTAAATTGTTATTGGGATGAACCAGTGTGTGTGTTTGTACAGGTGCAGGTGTGTGAGTTAGAGCTATTTAGAAGGGCAGCTTTCTAATTTAGTAAATAAATAAAAGGTCAAATGCCATTCCTGTCAATCCCAGATTAATTTTGCAGCTGCCCCCAACCAGTTATAAATTTCCTCACTTTTCAGACATACACATGTGAATTCTGACTAATATCTAGTTGACAGCATCACCATCTGCTGGTGTATTTTGAAGGCGTGGATACTTAGAATATTGGCTGAGAGGCATCAGCATTCCCATTCACCCTCTCGTGGACATTCATTGTACCATACAGACTCACCGTTTCTATCTCATTCTGCTTCAACAGGTGCCTCAGGGTTCCAAGGTCCTGCAAACACCTGTAAGCCCTGTTTGACCAGATATGATGGGATGGTATAGAACCAGTGAGTGCACATATATTAGGTAATGATGGCTTCTTCAAACCAAGCTAAACTTTCTTAAAAACTATAGCTTGTCTGTCC